TATTGAATAGTTTGTTATCAATGTAAAGAAATATATATATATATATATATATATATATATATATATATATATATATATATATATATATATTACACATATTATTTTGCTCCCAACTTTTTTTTATATTTGAGGAGTAAAACTTACAAAAATTAGTGGGGGCACCACACATTTTAGAATGGGGGCACCATAAACTTAATCGATGTAAACTCTTGATAATTATAGGCTTTGACTAGGGGCAAGTGCCCCCCATGACCTTGCACTGGATTCGCCACTTTATGATATATAATGAGTGCATGCGTTATTATAAAAAAGAAAGTAAATTAAAGGCTTTAAATGACTACGCATTTAAGAGGGTATTAATATAGAAAGAAGATAATCAACTTTCACTACTACAGAATAGACATTACACAGCACACTTTACACAGCGAATAACTTAAAAGGGCGGTGTAAATTTTAAGGTCTATGACTAACGTTGTTTCAAGGTTTAACGCTTATTCCAGTTTTTCTTTTTTTATTAAACTTACACAGCGGTGGCGCTGTGAAAACTTCAGCAGTGCAAATTAATAGAACTTCAGCAGGCATCTCTGGATTAGAAGACTCGCTCCCTCTCGTCGCTAAACTCTCTCGGTCTTCTCCTCTCTCGATCTAAACGCGCAAATCGATCGATTTCCATACTCTCAAATTGATAGCCGACCTCTATTTTTTGATTTCTCGCATAATCGATTGACTACTTGCAAGCATCAATCGTGGATCGATACAGGTTTAATTTATTTTCGAAATCTTTTAATTTTTTTTTGCAAATTAGGGTTTTTAAGGCTTTAATTTAAAAATTTATTTTATATCATCTTTTTCCCAACACTGTGGAAGGTAAAAAGAAGAGCTATTGATTTAGACTAGTTTTTGAATCGTATTTTATTGATGAATTATAAAGTAATCTCTGGTTTAGACCCGTTTTTGTGTGCTATTGTTTTGAATCCTAAAAGAAGAGCTATTGTATTGAATCCTAAAGTATACTGGTTCTTTTAGATTGGTTTTTTCTTCTTCTGTTAAAAAAATGAGCTATGGGTAAATTTTAGTGTTGTAACTGTATAGTTGTTTTATTTAATAGCTCATATATATAATAATCAAAAATATTATTTCTTTAATTAAATAATACTCTGTATTAAAATCTCATCGCGAATAGCTTGAATCTGGAATATGGAAACTGTTGAGAGTATTAAATGTATTTGACCTTGAACAATGTAAAGATCGAAGTAATAGCAATTTTAAGTTTTGAGCAGATAACTAAAACTGGTGAAATTGGATCTTCAACAATGCCTCACAAGGTGAATCTCATTGATTTTGAGAACATCGAAGAAAATCTAGGAGTTGCTAATGGAAGTCTATCGTATTTTAGCACAAAGCCACCTATTCCTCCGTGGGAGGGACACCATACTTGTCCACTTTTTGTGGTATAACAAATTAAAGCTTTTCTGATTTAGTACATAAAATGAGTCCACATTTTTTTTGTGTGGATAAATCTTCTCAACTCTCAGAAATATATCTTGTGGTTGCAGTCTTTAATTGCTGCTTTTGTTCACTTAGCCACTCAGGTTTCTCTTTTGTTCCTTTTATAATTGCACTTCCTGAACATTTTGATGTGTAGAGGGATTTGACGGATACTACTGCTCTGCGAAACATGGAAGTAGGGTTGGGGCATTCACTTATTGCATATCAAAATGCATTATAGGGAATTGATAGGTAACCACGGTTGGGAGGGCAGCGGAAATACAAAAATGTAATCTCCTAACAGTGATTACTAGCCCAAGAACACGTACTAAAACTATAGCTAGAGATAGAAACTTATACCTTCTCCCGAAAAGCGGTATGAACGAGAAGTCGAGCAAAAAGTGTTGAAGGAGCAAACGTAGTCGTTCAAGTGTCCGACTTCTAACTTTTACACACGAACAATCTCCAGAGTCTACCTTAACACTTGTGCTAGCAAGTGTTAAAGTAGTATATTAGATATAAAGATTATTTTAGGGATAATATAAATCTTGTATATTAAATAGTAGAAAATATATCAATAATATTTTAAAGAAAATATTATAACAATTTTCTACACCCAAAATTATTTTGGAATCCAAAATAATTCTCTCTCTCTCTCTTTTCTCTTTTTCTTGGCCGAAAAATTCTCCTTCAAAAAGGGAGAGAAGATAGCAATGTATAAATCAAAATGAATAATGCAAAAACATATACATTTGCAAAATGCCAAAAGGACACACATTATGGAATAAATTCCCGCAGAGGGAAGATTTGGAGCATATATTTCCTTCAAGAGAAAATCGGCTTTAGTAAAGCCGTTTTTTACAAATTTTTTTTTGAAAATCGGCTTTCATAAAGCCATTTTTTGTAAAAAAAAAAAAAGTAAAACAAAAATTGGCTTTCACAAAGCCGTTTTTTGTAAAAATAATTTTTAAAAAATGGCTTTCATAAAGCTGATTTTTTCATGCCAAAAAAATTACGCTTAAAAAAATGGATGATTTCATAAACCCTTTTTTTATTAAAAATAAATATTTTTTATGATTCAGTATTTAATTTGTTTAAAAAAATCAATCAATAGAAATTTAATAAAGAGATTGGGCAAATCAAATTTTAAACAAAAAATCTAAATAATTTTCAGAAACTTGTTTTTAAACGAATAGTAGGCAATATTGAAAACATAAATATATTAAAACATCAACAGAAAATTACATTCTCAACATCTGAAATAAACAAGAATTACAATACCTTCCGTGATACAAACTAAAAATATTAAACTAAAAGCATCTCCTTGCCATGAAATCCATCTCGCCTTGGTATCGATTGCGTTGATGTCTCCCTGAACGTGGAATCTCATCTGTTGGCCGTTTGGGAGGTAGAACTTTAAAGCTGCCAACTTCCAAATTCTGAGGGAAAAGAAGAGGTTGAATTATACCACTATAACAACTCAAATAGTTTTGAACCGAGTACCTAGCCGGTAATATGTTGTGAGGAACTTGTTGTCGAAAAGAGTGGTAAACAGCATGAACATGAACACAAGGTATACTATCGGAAGTCCACTGCCCACAAGTGCATACACTACTAAACAAATTGACCAAGTAGCTGTAAATAGAAGAAGGATTTGTTCGAGATGTATGAGTCACTACGTATTGGTTGTTACCGTAGCTTGAGACTGTCCACTTGTGCTTAGTTTTCTCCCGATTAGCGTACATTTTGCCTAGCAGAGGCATTGTACATCTTGGTCGGTCTCCATCTGAATAATAAAAAATGTATATGAACTTGAATAAAATTAGAGAAAAAAGTTATAATCTCGATAATCTAAATTAATGTAAATAAATACCATGCACCAAATGGGTCGTCTTCGCGGGGAGGCCCGTGTGGATTGTTCGGAACATTATTCACTATGGGTCTTATGGTCAAAATCCGTGTAGGTGATACCCATCTCACCAAAAGGAAACTGAAATGCGTGTAACTCCAGTCTCCAATGCTCAACAAGAGAAGTGATTAGACCATGGTCTAATCGGATAGGTTGCACACGGTGCACTCCATAAAACCCTGACCGGTGCAACATTTCATAAACTCTATCATCATGAAAAACTGTTGGAAGACTACCTTCGTAGTGAACTAGAGAGACTTTATTGTCTATAAAATCCAGGTTATGCCACACCTCACGCGAACGATGTGTAGCTTGTAAAGTAAGAATGTCCCTCGATCTAGGACCTACTATTTCTCTCTCAGGATCATACATTATGCTTCAAAAAAAATTCTAGTGAGCTTCTATCTACTCATAGTACAATAAAATGGTTAAAAAAATCTTATTTAAAAAAATATGCATTACATATTGTAAAATTAAAAAAATATGCATTACACATTGTAAAATTTAAAAAAAATATGCATTACATATTGTAAAATTAAAAAAAATGCATTACATATTGTAAAATAAAAAAATATGTATTACATATTTAAAAAACTTATAAAGAATTATTCTAAGAAAACATACCTCAACTTCTTGATTATGGAAGAATAGATAAATTTTGAATATTTAGTGAGAAAAGAAGAGAAAGAATGTGAGATATAGTTGAGGAGATTATGTATTTTGTGTAAAAAGAAGGAAAAGATTTGATTATTTGTAGTGGAATTAGGAAGAGTAGTAGAAGGGATTAGGTGTGAGAATAGGGAGAGGTGGAGTGTGAAATGGAGAAAGGGAGGGGGTCACTGCGCACTGCGCATGCCTGTAGATTTGTACTGTAGCACCTGAAATGGCTTTTGGAAAGCTGAAAAAAATTAAATTAAAAATAAAAAAAGAAAATGGCTTTTTGAAAGCCGAAAACCATTAAAAAAAATTTAAAAAAAATGGATTTTCAAAAGCCGATTTTCCTTCTCAAGAATTTACCTTTCCCATTTGGGAATTATATTCAAAATTTTTTCCCTCTTAGGGAAACCACCCCACATTATGAAATGTAGTGGGAGACACAAGTCCCCACACATAATTCCATACATCCATTTACGAAACTAAGGGGGAAGAATTTAAAATTCTTCTCCTCTCAAATGTTTAGAGTGTATTTTATTTGACATCAATAATTTTTATGATATAAAAAAATACCCAAAACATTTTAAAACAAGTATATAAAATATACTTTAAAATAGTTTTTGTCAAAATAATTATTTTCATAATTAAAATGACACTCCAAAATAAAATGTACATAATATAATATATATAAAGTAATGTATACATACATATCCACGTTACATACATATAACACACACACACACATATATATATATATATGCTTGTACATATAATAAGTATATGTCGTATATACTCCCTCCGTCCATTATTAAAGTTCCCGGTTTGACCGGGCACGCACTTTAAGAAAATGTAAAAATTTCCTTGACTTTCCCAAAATGCCCTCTACCTTACCCCACTCCCCCACACATTCCTATCCTACCTAAATTAGGACCCCAACCCAACACAACCGGCCAGAACAAAATTACAGCGACCCAAATAGATCTAATTTTCCGGCCGCCGTGTCACTGCTCGCCGTCACCTTTGCCCGCTTCTTGAGTTTCACAAACAAAAAAAAGACGAAGAAGGAATAAATCTGGGGCTCCTTCCCTCCTGTCCAATACGACGCCTGTACTACGCCACCACCGTTGATTTCTTTGCCTCAGGTCGAGATACAGAACATGACGGTTTCCATTCTCGAAGATCCGGCGGTGAGCAGAGTATTCGGAGAAGCCGGATTCACAAGCTGCGATATAATGGTTGCTCTTTTAAGGCTTGTTCATCAATTCTTCCGATACTCAACGTACAAAAACCATCCATCTCCCCTGTTTCTCTGTAATTTATCCATGGATTCCAATTTGGGTCGGAGAGATTTCACTTTCCCTTTCCTGGGAAACCCTGCAATTTTAGAGGGAGACAAGAATTGCAGGAGGATCTGGGAAGTTCTTGAAAAGACGAACAAGAAGAACCCATTGTTAGTTGGGGTATCTGAATCAAAATTCTCAGATCTGACGGAAAAATCAGAAGAGGAAAGGAGAAAGAAAGAAGAAGAAGAAAGAAGAAGAAGAAAGAAGATAAGAAATGAGAGAAGAAGAAGAGAGGAAAGAGAGAGAGAAAAGTGGTGGTTGGGATTGGGAAAGGAAACAGCTGATGGGGAAGGAAAAAGAAAAAGAAAAGATAGGGAGTGGGTGGGGAGGGTAATTTGGACTTTTTGATATAAAAAACTTTCCAAAAATAGAAATGGGAAGATTATTTTTGGACGGACGAAAAAGGAAAGTGAGAACTTTATTTGTGGACGGAGGGAGTACATTTATGTGTCGTTACAATGTATATACATATATATACACACATATATATTCGTACATGCAACAAGTACATATATATATTTATATGTGTCGTGTACAATGTATATACATACATATATATTATATTAAACATTTTACTTTACTATTTTACAATATACAAATTAAATATATCCCTTCTTATAATCCTACTCTTTAAATTGTTCAAAGTGTGTGACCCATATATGCACTTATAAAACTGGCCACAGTATTGACTCTACACGTTATGATATTCATTATTCGCCATAGATCGTTGTGTAATAATGGGGGTCTAATATTCAAGTCTGCAAACGAGGCAGTTTTGGAAAGATGCTGATTCTGAAACATATTGCATCTAGGAAAACAGGGTTACAGAATTGAATCACGTTCCCTATATTTTATAGGTTCTTGTAGCCATTAAGTTATTTACTGATTAACAAGTCAGACTGATGAGAACAGATGTCTAAACTCATCTCAGCATGGCCATGCATTTCTTCAGTCATACTTATGAGTGGGCCCCTACAAGACATTATTCTACTTGAGTAGCAGTGACAAATTCTTTGTACGTAATCTACGTCTTCAAAATACGTGCAGCGGCATGCCCAATACAAAGCCTGTATACCATCCTTATTTCATACGGCTTAGGACAATGAATCAAAGCATACGGGTTCACGCATTCGAAGAACGTAATACTTCAAGTCTAAGGATCGTTATACCAATAGTCGCATTAAGGACACTTAGAGCGTAGACTAAAAGTCTAGGCAATGTCTTTAAGGTGGGTCAGGTCTGGCATCCTATTATTAACGATAATATCTGCCCGAGAGTAGATGCGAACACTCCGTCATTGACCAAGTGACTCGGTCAAACATCTAACTCTCACTAGTCTCACACGCATTAACGATATCCTGCTCTCGTTAATGCTTCGACTATAGACCGTTCAGAATTATACTAAGTGACAAGATGTCAGTCTCAACATCAGAAGACTCATTCTGATAAACATCTTATAATATAATTCTAGGAATGTAATTAAGAGTTTACATTAGCATGAGATGTTTGTAAACTTAATGCATCTGCCTTTACATGATAGAAAATATCTAAGATATTACAACAGCAGTTGGCCATAAGGGCACCAACTCCAACAGGAATTACAAAGCTTCAGGTAAAAATACGGTCCCAAGTTCCAACATAATTGTGTTTCTCTTTGTGTACTGAGAACTCGGGTTTGGTTTGGTTCTTTTTATTCATTTTTAGACATTTTGAATACTTTTAGAGTTTAATTATTAGTAGTTTTGCGTAGTTTTATTTTAGTTTCTATTTTTTACAATCTTTTTATTTTCTTTCATAAATAGTAGTTTTTAATCATTTTTTTACATTTTATTTTTCCTAACCTAAGTTATCAGATATCTTATTTTTTTTGGAGAAAAGTGCAGTAGAAGACCCCAAATGCAGTTCAAGTTTGAAAAGAAGTGAATGAGTTTGGGTCGCAGCCCAAACCCAATACTAAAAGAGACCAGCCCAGCACCTCTTCCTCCTCGTCTCACGCACTCTCACGCACGGCAAAGGAAAAGAAACGGAGACTTCTTCTTCGCAAGAAGCCAATGCCAGATTGAAGTAACGCACATCTTCTCCAAAGTCTCTCCATAAATCTCGTTCAAGCGCTCCAACGGTAAAAATTTGAAGGCCCTTTGCTCCTAATTTCCTATAAATTGAGGGCGAATTGCAACAAGAGCAGGGGGGAAAGAACGTGAGAGAATCACAGAGAGTAAAGCAGCGGCTCTAGCCGCTGCTATCTACGCAGCTCCGATGGCGGTGGGCAGTGGAGGAGGCGACACCCAGTGGCGGCGACGGTAGCGGCTGCAGCTCCGGCCGGATATGGGCGGCGATCTCCAACTCCGTTCAAGCTCCAATTTCTTCAATTACTTCATCTTCTTCAACAATTGGTAACCTTTAATTGTCAATTTCTTTTTCTTCTCCATTTCATTGTAAAAATGTTGTTTCAATTCAAATTTACATTTTTTCCCTTGTTTGTGTTAATTTCGAAAATTCCAAAATGGTTGGTGTTCTTTTATGGGTTTTTTTTAATGTTATATTAAATCCCTTATGAATGAAAATTGATTCTTACTAGTTTCTTCAATTTTTGCGCAAATTGATGTTAAATTGGTTGAATTATAAATTTGATTTCATAAGTAGGTTGGTATGTCAAATTCGGTTATTATTGAAGCTAATTTAGCTACATATTTTAGTTAAGTAATTCTCGAATTCATACGTGAATCTTTTTTTTGTGACTTGTGTTGTGTAAAATTTTAAGGTAAATGATCTTCTTAGCCACATAAGTCGAACGTTTTCCTTAAGATTCGTTATAAAGTGATTGTTTATGTCTTGGTGTTCTTGTTTGTTATTTTCATAAAAATTGGGATTGTTTAAGCGCAATTAACAACTCTTGATTTAATGAAAATGTGTAATGTTTTTCTTATGTGAATAGAATACAATTCTTATGCTTTAGTTATTCAAGGAGACCTGCAAAATATTTTCATCATTAGACATTAAAGTTTATTAAAGTGTATCAAATGTTCTTCATGAATACTTTGTGCATGGGAGTTAGAATGAAAGAAAGATTCGCTCTTTTATAAACTTTTTCGTCTTTTGGAATCATTGTTTGAGCGCTTGAGGTGAGTGGGGGTTCAAAGTAACCAAAGGGTCTTTGAATCTTTGACTCTGGGCCTTATAGAGAGTTGACAATCATCTATATGTGGTCAAGGATATGAATCAACTCGAGCCTTTGAATTCTTTTCTATTCTTAAGTGCGTAAGTTACGTAATATATTGTCTAAGTGCCTATTATACGTGTAATGTTTGTTTTGTGTTCGTTCTCTTTTTCATTTTGTTTCGGGTTTTGGCGGTGCTTCTTGGGTTACCTTAATTGGAGAAGTTGATTATCTTTTGAGCTTGTTTTCCCCCATTTTATCAAAAAAAAACTAAAAAATAAGAAAAATATAAAAAACCAAAAAATACTTACTTTTCATCCACCCCCTTTGTGTTTTAAGTTATTATATAAGTTTTTTACTAAGCTTATCTATAAGTTTTTTTGTTTATATAAGTTATATTTATAAGTTTTTATATTTATTTAGTTATAAGTTTTATTATAAGTTTTATAAGTTCTTATCATATGCGTAGTTTTTTTATTTTATTTCGTGACAATGTGTGTGCATGCTTAAATAATTTCAAAAGTACAAACTTTGTTCGTGGGATCTACCCTTACTTGCCCTAGCTATAGTTTTTATTTGATTATATTTTGGGGGTTAGTTAAGGATATTTTATAAATTTTTAATTTGTTTTGGACCACACGACAAGTCCCCAACAAATTTTGGCGCCGTTGCCGGGGAAAGTTTTGTATGAAATCACTTTAGTATGCCATTGGAGTAAAGTGCATTGTTTACCTCTGTACTCTTTGGAAATTGCATACTTTACCCCTGAACTTTAAAAAGTGCACCGATTACCCTCGAACTCTTCAAAAATTGCACGATTTACCCCTACACATTAAAAAATGCACCAAATACCCTTAAACAAATTAAACCGTTGCATCGTTGGTCCTATAATATTAGTTAGGGAGTGTCCACAAAAATTGCGAATATGATTCATATGGCTCTTGTGAATTTTCTAAAGTACCTTTACCCAAAATTGTCATTTTTATTTAAATGTTTAGAAGTAAACAGTACAATTTTCAAAGAGTTCAGGGGTATTTGGTGCAACTTTTATTGTTCAGGGATAAACCGTGCAATTTCTGAAGAATTCAGGGGTATTTGATGCACTTTTTAATGTTCGGGGGTAAATCATGCAATTTTCAAAGAATTCGGGGGGTAAACGGTGCACTTTTCTCGTATGCCATTGTTTTCTTTGTTTTTTTGTTAGTGAGCATGTGGTAGTAGCCTCTTTTCTTGAGTTCTAATTTGTTTAAATGCCTATCCGTAGAATTGAGGATACGTGACCTAGAATGAACTAAAATCAGCCTTATTGACTCTCTTGAATGCTGAATTTGTGTTCCAAATGATGGTTTTTATGAAATTTCAGGCCTATTTTTCATAAAAATTTCATTTTAACACTATTTTCTGCATATATTCTTGGTGATATGAGTATCCAATTGGTCATATTTGTTGCACTTGTGCTGATTTATTCATTTTTTTTTATAAGTACAACATGTATGGTTTGATTATGCAAAGAGTTGTGTGCTGATTTGGATGCATTTCAAGCTAAATATGCAAGAAAAAACTGATTTATACTTGCTGATTTGAAATCTGTACTATTGTTGTTTTTGTCCCTTAAGAGTGCTCATTTGCTTAAAATATGAACTATTATTGATATATCTTGCTTTGGGACAATATTTTGAAGCATATCATGATATTTCTATGCTGATTTTGATGCCTACTGTGCTGTTTTTTAAGAAAAATCTGATCTGTAGTGCTGTATTTTGAAAAAAATCAGCAAACTTTTTCATTGATAATCTGATTTATTTTTAGTCCTTAAGATGCCTATTGCTGAATTATGTACTTTAATTGTTAAATACATGCATAGGAACTGAGTTGGAGGTATTTATCTTGTTTTTGCACTCTGAATTTGACCCTTAGATGCTAAGTTTTGATGTCAAAGTGCAAAAGTGCAGAAACTTAGGTTCTAAAAATTGATTTGAAGCTTAAATTTTGCACATAGAATCTGAATTTTGTTTCCCAACTAATCTTCAAATGTTATTATTTATAGAAGTTGGAAACAAAAGTTGGATTCTTAATTTTACACTTTTTAATGTTTTAAAGAAACATTTTTACTTTACTACTTCATGACTTAAGTGAATATGTATTGGCAAGTAGTAAACTGTGTCTAGCCAAAGACGTTAAATTGGGCGGCTTATGGGAGGCAACCCACCTTTTTAAGTTTTTTTTATCTTTCTAAAAAAAACTCTTTTTACTTATAACTTCTCGTTATTGTTGTACTTTTTCTCTTATAGTTATTGATTGCATTTTTTTTCCTTTTTTCTATTTTTCTTTAACTTCTTGTTGTTGTACTTAACTTTTTTTTTGTGGTTATTAATTTGATTTTATTTCTTTTAAGAACCAACTTTTCTTTCATATTGATGTAATAGTACTTGTTGTAATTATAGGATTAGTTTTTTCTTTTTTCTCTTTCATTTTATTTTTGAAAAACACAAAAAAAAAGTGAAAAAAGTATGTTGCTTGATTTTAAATGTTTAACCATCTACTTTGAGAGCTTTTTGCAAGATTTGTTGAGTTTTAGGTGGAAGCATAGGTGTTTGGAGTAAAATTCTGCACGGTTGGGTGCAAATCTCTTTTGAAACAGTGATTCTTGGTGCCTGAGTGTTGGTACTTATGTTTCTCGAAGCCTTGGGTGTTTAAATTTGGTCTTATTTGAGTTGGAAACCTAAAAATTCTGCATCTTTTTGGTTGATTTGGGCTACAAACCATAAAAAAATTGGTTTTGATTTATTAGATTTTTGGGCTATAAACTGAAAAATATGCACTTTGTGAGCTGTTTTTTTAGTGCAGAATGAAAATCCTACACTTTTCACAGCTTATATGTGCTAAAATGCAAAAAAATCAGAATTGTTTTTGTTCTTAAACGCTAAAATACTTGGTCTTAGCCTTCTTTTTGCAGATTTTTTAGGTCCAACAAAAGCATGATAAGGAACAGGAAAAAGATAAACTGATGTTGCGTATACTTTTTTGATTGACTTCCCCAATTCCCTTCTCTCTTTGCTAAGTCTGTGCTTACTTAATATTGTCATATCATATAGATGCATCGAGGACTATGCACATTTTAAGTGTGGGGGGAGTTGCTCATGCTTGTGTCATTGCTTAAAAAAACTTTTGGGGCAATTTTTTTTTTTCAAATTAGGTTTTGGGTCTAAATATGTTTTTCATTCTTAGTTGCATATCTTCTTATTTAGAGCATTGTTTTCAAAAATTGACCCAAAAACTTCATTGTTTTCCTTGGGGCTTTATTTTGAAAGATAGCAAGTGTATACTTTTTAAACCCACATTGAGTCTTATGCTCTTTTCTTGGTAAAAAAACGACCTTAAAATGTTTGAAATCCTTATAGGTTACCTTAGAATTTTGTTTTCTAGAACTGGCCATCCACATACTATCTAGATGTTGCCTAATCAATCATTGCTTGATATTAAAATCTGAAAAGAAAACACAGAGAGAAACCAGTTTTAGGAGCTTTTTATTTTTAGAAAATTGAGTGATTTTTATATTTTTAGGCTTGTTGATGAATCTTGCTACCGCTGCTATTGAGCCGTGCTAAACCATAGGATTCTGCTAAAAAACTTTTTTGTAGCAGCTTTAGAGCATTTAGTAGAACCCAAAAAAATCCACACCTTAGTTTTCCATCCTTGTAGGATTTCTAGCTCATTTTGTTTTTAAATTGCGAATGAGCATAAAGTCTTAAGTATGAGGGTTTAAAGTACATTTTGTTTTTCTTGATAATGATAAAAAGTTTGGTTTCTTTTTAGTCTTTTGAACGAAGACGTTCAACTCTTAAGTGTGGGGGTATTTGATAACTCGGGTTCGGTTTGGTTCTTTTTATTCATTTTTAGACATTTTGAATACTTTAAGAGTTTAATTATTAGTAGTTTTGCATAGTTTTATTTTAGTTTCTATTTTTTACAATCTTTTTATTTTCTTTCATAAATAGTAGCTTTTTAATCATTTTTTTACATTTTATTTTTCCTAACCCAAGTTATCAGATATCTTATTTTTTTGGAGAAAAGTGCAGTAGAAGACCCCAAATGCAGTTCAAGTTTGAAAAGAAGTGAATGAGTTTGGGTCGCAGCCCAAACCCAATACTAAAAGAGACCAGCCCAGCACCTCTTCCTCCTCGTCTCACGCACGGCAAAGGAAAAGAAACGGAGACTTCTTCTTCGCAAGAAGCCAATGCCAGATTGAAGTAACGCACATCTTCTCCAACGTCTCTCCATAAATCTCGTTCAAGCGCTCCAACGGTAAAAATTTGAAGGCCCTTTGCTCCTAATTTCTTATAAATTGAGGGCGAATTGCAACAAGAGCAGGGGGGGGGGGGAAAGAACGTGAGAGAATCACAGAGAGTAAAGCAGCGGCTCTAGCCGCTGCTATCTACGCAGCTCCGATGGCGGTGGGCAGTGGAGGAGGCGACACCCAGTGGCGGCGACGGTAGCGGCTGCAGCTCCAGCCGGATATGGGCGGCGATCTCCAACTCCGTTCAAGCTCCAATTTCTTCAATTACTTCATCTTCTTCAACAATTGGTAACCCTTAATTGTCAATTTCTTTTTCTTCTCCATTTCATTGTAAAAATGTTGTTTCAATTCAAATTTACATTTTTTCCCTTGTTTGTGTTAATTTTGAAAATTCCAAAATGGTTGGTGTTCTTTTTTGGGTTTTTTAATGTTATATTAAATCCCTTATGAATGAAAATTGATTCTTACTAGTTTCTTCAATTTTTGCGCAAATTGATGTTAAATTGGTTGAATTATAAATTTGATTTCATAAGTAGGTTGGTTTGTCGTATTCGGTTATCATTGAAGCTAATTTAGCTACATATTTTAGTTAAGTGATTCTCGAATTCATACGTGAATCTTTTTTTTGTGACTTGTGTTGTGTAAAATTTTAAGGTAAATGATCTTCTTAGCCACATAAGTCGAACGTTTTCCTTAAGATTCGTTATAAAGTGATTGTTTATGTCTTGGTGTTCTTGTTTGTTATTTTCATAAAAATTGGGATTGTTTAAGCGCAATTAACAACTTTTGATTTAATGAAAATGTGTAATGTTTTTCTTATGTGAATAGAATACAATTCTTATGCTTGAGTTATTCAAGGAGACCTGCAAAATATTTTCATCATTAGACATTAAAGTTTATTAAAGTGTATCAAATGTTCTTCATGAATACTTTGTGCATGGGAGTTAGAATGAAAGAAAGATTCGCTCTTTTATAAACTTTTTCATCTTTTGGAATCATTGTTTGAGCGCTTGAGGTGAGTGGGGGTTCAAAGTAACCAAAAAGCCTTTGAATCTTTGACTCCGGGCCTTATAGAGAGTTGACAATCATCTATATGTGGTCAAAGATATGAATCAACTCGAGCCTTTGAATTCTTTTCTATTCTTAAGTGCGTAAGTTACGTAATATATTGTCTAAGTGTCTATTATACGTGTAATGTTTGTTTTGTGTTCGTTCTCTTTTTCATTTTGTTTCGGGTTTTGGCGGTGTTTCTTGGGTTACCTTAATTGGAGAAGTTGATTATCTTTTGAGCTTGTTTTCCCCCATTTTATCAAAAAAAACTAAAAAATAAGAAAAATATAAAAAACCAAAAAATACTTACTTTTCATCCACCCCCTTTGTGTTTTAAGTTATTATATAAGTTTTTTACTAAGCTTATCTATAAGTTTTTTTGTTTATATAAGTTATATTTATAAGTTTTTATATTTATTTAGTTATAAGTTTTATTATAAGTTTTATAAGTTCTTATCATATGTGTAGTTTTTTTATTTTATTTCGTGACAATGTGTGTGCATGCTTAAATGATTTCAAAAGTACAAACTTTCTTCGTGGGATCGACCCTTACTTTCCCTAGCTATAGTTTTTATTTGATTATATTTTGGGGGTTAGTTAAGGATATTTTATAAATTTTTAATTTGTTTTGGACCACACGACAAGTCTCCAACAAGTACTCTGTCAGTTGAAAGTTCACTTAATTCATGCTCAATGGCTTTGCTTAGAGCAGGGAAATTTATAACTTATAATTAGAAATTGAGCTGCTCTAAAAAATATGATATATATATATATATATATATATATATATATATACTACCTCCGTCCCACTGTCTTTGTCCACTTTATACTTTTGGAACTGTTCATCTAAGCACTTTGACTCATCAAATTTTCTCAATGTGTAAGCCTAAAAATAGTCATGTGTGATCTTGTTTGATTCGTCTTAACATATAGATTATTAATATATAATTTTTATAATTTTTTAATATACAAATTACAAGATAAAATGGATTAAAGAAGTGCATTGGATGGTGTGCCAAAAGGTAAGTGGACAAAGACAGTGGGACGGAGGGAGTATATATATATATATATATATATATATATATATATATATATATATATATATATATATATATATATATATATATATATATATATATATATATATATATATTGGGGCCGATTCCCGTGAGAATGCACCTTGTGGAGAGAAATGAGAATAAAATCTAGCCGTTGGATCTGATGCATCGTGCGGCTCAGATTGCATCCTGCACCCAGATTTTGAGATAGTGCATTTTCGAAGGTTTATGGTGCATTTCGACGTGATGCATTTTCGTACCATTTTGGTGCATCCAATATTGATGAAATTTTGACCCTTAGATCTCACAATCTAAAGCACTAGATTCATTCTCATTTCTCTCCTAAGATTGCATTCTCACCAGAACTGAATTATATATATATATATATATCTTACATCTTACATATCTTATAAATGTCTACAATGGTTAGGTATCCTCAAATTAATTTGTAGTTTTTCCGTCAAAAACACATGTACCCTATTGTCAAAAAAAACACATGTACCCTTACGTTCTTATGTTGTACGCAGCTTTTCCAATCGCAAACTACCCTTACGGCGTTAGTTCTTCCTCTGTATTAGGGTGACTATCATCCGCGTCAATTCTCTTCCTCTTGTCCAGCACCTCGTCTTCCCGATGAAATATGTGTAATTGCCGCCTGTCCCTCAGCAATCGATTAGAATCGTTGTGATTGGAATTGCCAGCATAATCAACCCTGGATTTACGGAATTCCTGGCGATGCATCAGGAAGTCAGCAAACAAATTTGTAATAACAAACTAATTCTAGCAAGTATGCAGATTTGCAGGTATGAATGAAACGTTTTTCCTGATTCCTCTTCTTCTATCTATGGTCCTTCCCTAAGTTCCCTTAATAACCCCCGCCCAATTATTTCAGCAAGGACGTTCATTTTTCAGAAATTTCTAAAGGAGCTATTTATATTCAATTTTGGGAGATGGGACGAAGCACCATCTCCAAGATTCCTCCTATGTATAATCTTATGAGTTATTTGGCTTGTTCTTATTTTTTTTTCTTTGTTTCTATTATTGCAAGTCAAGAAGGATTAATTTTCACCTACAGGTACGGCCAAACCTGCAACAGCTTGGAGAATCATTCTTCAGGTAATTTAAATTATATGCATTATTTTCACAGCGTAACAACTACAATTATATGCACAACTTTTATTTTTAATCATATGTATTTCATACTTGAGGCAACTATTGGCTGCTGTTGACATAAACTGCTCAGTAGTTTGATTATTTAGGATTATTTGTTAGTAAAGAAATGCATGTGCTCCAATTACTCCTCTTGAAAGTAACAAACACTCTTACAATTGGTATAGTTTGTACCTTGACTTAATAAATTGACATGCCTAGATTACATTATCTATAAGGGTCCTTTTGAATGGAGGAAAATGATTTCTGTCAAAAGGAAAATCTGGTCTATTATATAGAAAATGACTCCTGCTTTTAAAGTCAGGAGATTTTTTACCCTGTTAATTATCTCTTCTTCCCTTCATAAAATCCCATTTTCCCTCTCTTTTCTTCCCTTCTCAAAATCCTCATTTTCTTCACTTGTTCATCTCTTCTTCTCTCTTTCTTGTATTAAAGCAGTAATAGAATACATGTAGTAAAGAATGATCAAATTCAGATGCGTATTCAGTGTTAGCTTATGTTTATGCTGTTAAACATGGAAGAAATTCATTACTTCCTTTGTGTGTACAACACATGTCAAAGGTAATAATAACTTTTTTGTGCATCCAAAATTTTTTCCTACATGCATATTTGGTCATATATGGGTGCTTCATCTTCATTTTTTCTCGATTAACCACATAATGTTTTCTTAGTTTTTTATACTCACTCATGTCCCAAAAATAGCGGCATTGCGGGATTAATATATTAAATAAAAGCTGAAGAGAATAACACCTAACTTGTTCTCAAAAAAAAAAAACACCTAACTTCAGGCCTCATATGTTTGAAACTTAATGTGTAAAACCATTGTGAACAATATGCTGGTCATCTTATGGAGAAAATTCAATCTAAGAATGTGCTTCACAGAGCCTTCAGTGTTTTCTTATTTAACTCTAAACAAGAATTCCTTCTTCTGGGATGTCTAGCAAACTACATCTGTTTTTTTCTTCTTATTGTTACCAANGGATTAATATATTAAATAAAAGCTGAAGAGAATAACACCTAACTTCAGGCCTCATATGTTTGAAACTTAATGTGTAAAACCATTGTGAACAATATGCTGGTCATCTTATGGAGAAAATTCAATCTAAGAATGTGCTTCACAGAGCCTTCAGTGTTTTCTTATTTAACTCTAAACAAGAATTCCTTCTTCTGGGATGTCTAGCAAACTACATCTGTTTTTTTCTTCTTATTGTTACCAAGATATTTCTGAACTATTTAGCCACAGACAATCTGGTTTGGATAAAGAAAAAAACAAATTGTTAGTGTAGGTATATGTGCTTCATGTCTCCTTGCCTTTGTTTATGATATTCTGTTTCTTTTGTCTCTATTTCTGTGTTTGAGTCAAGGTGTCTTGTAATCCTTTTTTAAACTTTGTTTATATATCCCAATTCACATGGTGTCATGTTTCTTTATTCTCGTGTAGGGATGGGCTGATATGCGCTTAATAAGTTCACTTATTTATTAGGAATGATATTCTTACAACAATTTAATGGTGTAAAATTATAAAACCAATTGAATTAGAGCACTTATACGTATCTCATCTCTTTATTGATAGTTCATTTTCCGATCTGATCTGTTTATTGATTGTTTCTGTCGTGATCTGACAAATAAAGCAGAAGCTATTTTTAAAATTTTTATTTTTCGAATGTCATCTTTATGCACTTAAGTGTCTTTAATCTCTCACTGTATCTGATTGTTTTAGTTTATCCTTTAACTTACAGATTATGGGTTACAAGATTTACACTTACGAAATGCATTCAAGTTATGCGGCAAGGATTGAGAATTAGTGAAGCTATGACACAATTAGCAAAGATATTATTCAGAGATGGACCTATCCATTGGTGCCTGATGTCCCTTTCTTTGGAAATTCTGCTTCTAAACTTGAAAGGCGTGGAATGTATCCCGCATCAGGTATGAATATCAGATAAAATAGAAGTTCTGAAAATATATTTGATTAGTACTTTTGTTAGCATTGCATTGGCAATCTATATACCTTCAATTCCTTGCACCGTCTCAATTTCTGTGCCTACTCATGGCATTATAAGTTCTCTTCCCCTCTACCTCGATTTAAAGCTTTAATGACGTTTTGAGATAGTTTGTATGAACACTGCTATGCCAGCTGAGTAATTTCATTTTCCATTTTAAGTTTAAAATGCAATACATGTATGCTGAGCGTTTTACATTGATAGATCTCATCGTTTTTTTTCAGATATTGTACAGTCACGTTCTGCACAAATTCGCCCTTTTATCCTTATTAGGAAGGGCACTACTATTAGAAACAACAGTGTAATTTCAAGTTTAGTTCTTGGAGAGGGTTGTAAGATTGGATCAAATGTTTCAATAGAAGGTTGCTACATATGGCAAAATGTCACAGTAGAAGATGAGTGTCAAGTGAAGCACGCATTAGTATGTGATGGTGTAGTATTGAGGTCTGGTGCATTTTAGAAACCTGGTGCTATATTGTCCTTCCAGTTAGTCTTCCACCCATCACATTATGCCACATTTGAACTTTGTGGACGTCAATCTTTCTCAAATTTAATGGTGTAGCAAACAACTTTATGCCTTTCAGGTTGTCATTGGTCAACGTTTTGTTGTTCCTTCTTACTCAAAGGTGTCTTTACTCCAGTAACCAAATATATAAGATACTGATTTGCATCTCTCTTCTTTTGTCCAAAGCATCATAACTGAAAATTATGATTTAAACACTATTTACCTGGGATCTGCCATGTGAAAGTGACTAATTTCTAGCTTTTAATTCTACCTTGACATAAAAATTAATGTCTGATCTCTTTCCAAATTACACATGGTAATTCATAAGATGCTACCAGGTGACTGTTTTGTTTTCAGTTTATGTGTGCTTATCTCTGTATGTGGCAAAACTTGTATGGATTTATTATGGATGTATTTACAGGAACTATTTGATTCTTTTTCGTGTTGGCAGATTTTCTCTTCCTATAATTTGGTCTGTGCAGAGATTAAGAGTCCAAAAAAGGTGAAACTTTGCGCTGCAGTGGGCTGTTTTGAGCCAATTTTGTTACTTTACAGTCTGGTTGCTAAGATTGTCGTGATGGACCAAGGTACAACTTCAAACTCAGTTCCCCAAGATGATTCGATTGATAAGTCAAAGATATTGGATATTAAGCACATGAGGAGCTTAATTCCAGTCTTTCCATCAGCAAACGGGATGTCATCTGCAGCCACTCCCCAACCGTCACCCTTCACATGTGTTTCTCCAGTTGGTCCTTTCCATCCCGGAGTTCCCCTTTTACCCATTTCTGGCTCCCAATATTTCAAGCAGACGAACTGAACAGCCTCCATCAGGATACACTCAGGCTATACCCCCTGTTCCATTAAACTCGTTCAGAACTCCAATGTCAAATGGAGATTCTGGGAGACCAAGGAGGTCCAGTGGAATTGTTGCAGAAGATGATGAGTATAGTGACCAAAGTGATCAGTATGGCTATGGCATTCATGATAACAGCGTTGAACACTCCAGCACTAAGAAGAGAAAGGGATGACCGCAGAAAAAGACAAAGATGCATGGCCATCAGGGGAAACCTCCGGTTGAGGTGGATTACGAATCAATTTTACAAAGTTTTCTTGAATCGTTTAAACTCACCGAGGTAGAATCATCCAAAAAAACCGACGGTGACAAGGACCTTGTTGGGCGCATATTGTTGGCTTATGATTTGTTACGAAGAAAAATGTCCCAAATTCAAGAGATGAGTGATCCATTTCCAGGATCTGTCAGGTGCCCGGACCTGAAGGCTGGAACAATGCTGATGACAAAAGGGATCCGCACGAATCAGACAAAGAGGGTCGGTAATGTGCCTGGGATTGAAGTTGATGACCCCATTTCTGTAAGCATAGTATCATCTGGAGGGTATGATGATGAAGGGGATGATGGGGAGGTGCTAATTTACTCCGGCCAAGGTGGAGTGCAGAGAAGGTGGTATGGACAGATGTTTGGTCAGAAACTCGAAAGGGGAAATCTTGCATTGGAGAAGAGTCTTCACTGTTCCAATGAGGTTAGAATTATTACATTTGATTTCAAATTCAAATCTAAATTTTAAAATTATTATCACTATCAAGTTTCACATTCATTGTTGAATTTTAAATTTTAAATCTAAAATTTAAAATTTAAATTTCTTTCCCATTCTTTAATTTTTTCTAAACTCAAATTCAAAATAATAAAAATCCACATTTCTACATATTTTTATTAAAAATAAATCCTTGCAATCATTGCAACATTACACCTATATTACCCACATTTACTCTACTTAAATGTGAGGTTTATATTTCCTGAATTTAAAATCTTGCAAACGTATTTAATGCTGTGTATTATTACATTTAAACAACCTAACACCTGCCTATAAAACCATACACCCATGACTTTTTCATTGGTAATTTACATAACACACAACCTTTAGACAATAATACTTAAACCAAAAACCCATAATTTACATGTCCAATGTTATGTGTATTTACTTCTCTCCGTTTTGTGTCTATTTAGTTCTCTGAATTCAACATCACATCTTATGCCCTTCATATGAAGTCAAATTCTAAATGAAGGTCTTGGCAGTACATTACTGATAGTCACTAATCCAATTTTCCACTGCTCTTCATAGGAAGTTTGTGGGCTGCTCTTGATAGGAACTTTGTGACACGCCACAAGTAATATCAGGTACACCCTTCTTCCAGTTTAACTCCTTACCTATTCATCATGACTCCCTCCTTTAAATCAATATTTATTGGGGTTTGGGAGCTTTGTTGGATTGGTGGTGTGTTTTATATGTTCATCATTTGTTAAAGATTTAGTAGATTAATTTATATGGATTTTTAAAAAGATTTAGTAGACTACTTTTTATGGTGTTTTAAAATTGTCATAATACAAAGGTTCATATTTACTGCCTTATGTGTTTTGAATGAATGTAATATATAATTACTAATCATCATTCACTATAATTTCATATATTACACTACCACAACTAACACAAAAAAATAAGTTGTATTACTAATGGTTTCAAAATTTCCTTATTTAGAATGTTTACATCGTTTTACTTAAGATACATAAGAAAGAAGGTTATTAAAGCACACATTATTTCACACACTGTAGTAAAGGAATATCTTTGTCTAACCAAACACATACATCAATGATGCAAGACTTTATTTCAAAAACCAATTTAGTACAAAATGCAGACTGCTTTTTCTACTCCATCAATGGGTTTTCAGGTTTCTGTATGGGACTGCTTATTCTTTTTGCTTTTTGGGGTTGGTTTTAGAGTAGACTCTAGATTGGGTTTTGAGTATTTGAGTGAGATTTTGGGTTACTATTTGGCTCAGGGAATTGGGGTTTACACTCTGGGATTTGGTTATGCTGTTTGGAGTTCGTTTTTTGGGTCTGCATGCTAAAATTAGTTTTACAGTTTATAATTGGTTTTTTCCTTATGCTGCTTGGTTATGCTGCTTGGGACTACATGTTTTGGGTGATGTTGTTTGCGGCTGGTTTTTGGGTCGGCATTACACTTTATACTTTGATTTTGGAATCTCGTCTGCATGCTATAATTCGTTCTAGACCTCATATCATTTCACCTATTACAATCATACTTCAGTATGTATGCTAAGTGTCACCATTCTCCAAGCATAATTCATGTTATTTGTGGTTAAAAACTGTACTTTACATGATTACAGAAAAAAATGACGCAGATGTCTAAAAAACACAGATTTGGTAGGGACTATAAAATCAATGCGGATGGAAATTTGGGTAAGTTTTGGGTCAGGGAATTGGAATTTACTATATGGGATTATGTTATGGTCTTTGGGACTGGTTTTGCCACCTGCATACTATAATTAGTTTTACCCTTTATAATTGGTTCTTTGTAATGATGTTTGGTTAAGGTGCTTGGGAGTGCATGTGTATTGTTATCCTATTTGAGCTGGTTTTTATAATTGGTTTTTTGGAATTTGGCCATCTTGCTATAAATCACTATGTATGCTAAGTATCACCACCCTCCAAGGGTAGTTCATGTCGTTTGTAGTTAAAAATTATAGTTTAAATGATAACATAGACAATTCAACACAAAATTAATGTACATGAACAAACATAGCATAACATCTAATTCTTGGGTTGGAATTTTGTTTCTAGCATTAAGGATCGCGCATCATTTTTGGATAGGTTTTGGCATTTTATTTGATTGCTGGTGTGTTTTATGCGTTTATCAATCATTAAACATTTAGTACATCTCTTTAAATGCATTTTTAAAATATTTAATAGACTACTTCTAATGCTATTTTTAAATACTCATAATACAAAACTTCATATTCCATGGCATATGTGTTTTGAATGAATATAACATATAATTACTAATCATCATTCACTATAATTTCATATATTACACTATAAGAAAGAAGATTATTAAAGCACAATTTAATTTACACACTATAGTAAACAAATATCTTTGTCTAACAGATCCCATCCATCAATTCTGTGAAACTTTATTTCCTCAATGCATTTAGTACAAAATGCAGCCTGCTTTTACGGATCCATCAATGGGATTTCACTTTTGTGTATGGCAATGGTTTTTCAAATTGGTTTGTCAGGTTGGTTTTGGGTTAGACTACAGGTTGGGTTTGGAATTTTTAGATGTGAATATGGATACATTTTTGGGTCAGGGAATTAGGGATTACTATCTGGGATTTGGTCATGCTGTCTGGGACTGGTTTTTTTGTCTGCATGCTCTACCTGGTTTACCACTTTATAATTGCTTTTTCCTTATCCTGTGTGGTTATGCCGCTTTAGGTCTGCATTACACTTTATAAATATATTTTGGAATTTGGTCTGCATGCTATAATTTGTATAAGACCGTATATCATTTCACCCTTTAAAACCATAGTTGAGTATGTATACTATGTGTCACCATTCTCCAAGCATACTTCATGTCCTTTGTGGTTAAAACCTATACTTTAATTCATAACACAGACACTTTAACAAAAAAAATTACTACCTGAACAAACATAGCATGAGATGGGTTTCTACCTGAACAAACATACCTGGTTTCTCCGCTCTTGGTGGTGTCTTCAATGAAGAGGTGTGTCTTGATTACTCTCACGCCTTCTTCCACCATGTACAACTATTGGGTTTCCTCTTTTTGATGGATATGTCCCTAACAAAAGATTGGTTCCTATGATCTGCTGCAATCTAATCATAACGTTACTATTTGTTACATATACAAATAGATGACATGATTTTTGGATGTGTGGATTTTGATATCAGATTTCATACATATCCAATGTCCTCATGGCCATGTCAGCATGATTTAGTTTGAATTGTATACCCATGTATGTTAAGAAGACATTGTATAAAATTAGAGTATTATAGTGAATAATGTGAGCATAGTGTAGTCTCAAATTTTACATCTTTTTCTAATTTCAATAATGAAGTAGCGTGTTCAGCTGTTTTGTGGAAGATTAAAAGTTTTGAAATAATCATTGATGAACCATGAGCATAATGTTTGAAGACCACAAATGAAGTTTTAAAATAGATACTACCAAGTATGACTTGATGATACAAAAAATGCAATGTTTAATAGTACAGTGAGTTTTTAAGACAAGAATTTATACAATGAAAAACAAACTTACATGTGAATTATTTATTTTTATGGTCTATATTTTTTAATCCCACTCATTATAAATAAATTATGTCTCTAATAATGAAGTTTTGAAATTTTACTTTGCTTTGTCATCATAAATCAATTTAAATTTTTTATGCAATCGAAATACTTATAGAAAAGCATGATTAGTTTATTGTTTGTTTATCATATGACATTCAAAGAGCACTCATTCCTCCACTATTTCTATTGCGAGAACCTTAGTTTCCCAATGTTAAAAAGTAATACATTAAATAAACAAAATTAACAGTCTACGCCCCTCTATGATTGTGAGATTATAAAATGATTCATTTACGAGATTTAAAGTTTTTTTGATCTAACAACACATAATGCCTATACTTATTCGGACCGAACCTTGTGTATATAATGATGTGCTTTTCAACAACTTTCACTTCGCATGTCCATTCAACCTTTTTGTCTTAATATGCCTAATTATTTTTGTTGTTGTTATCACTACATTTAAAAAAAATGTTATACTAACATATGGAAACATGCTTTGATCCAAATCATTATTTATTTAAAGTGTGTAAAATAAATCATAGGATTTATTGACTCAAACATGTGATTTTTGTGAAAACATTTCTCCCTAAATGATAAAATTGAATTTTCATGTAACATTATAGAACCTAGAAATTTTAAGAACTGAGCACGAGATAAATACAAGTTATTTTGAAAGACTTTCATCTTTCATATAAAAAAATAAAATTACCTAGCTACGTCCTAATTTGATTTGTAAATTTAATCTTTAATGGACAAATTTTACTCCCTACGTTCCAATTTTTGAGTCGTACCTATAATTTTATTAAAAGAAGCCTTATTTACTAAGGGCCTGTTCTTTAGGACTGGAAAAAAAGAACTGGAAACTGGAAGAAACTGGAAAAAACTGGAAGGAACTGGAAGAAACTGGAAGGAACTGGAAGAACTGGAAGAAATTGGAAGGAACTGGAAGAAACTGGAAGGAACTGGAAGAACTGAAAAAAACTAGAAAAACAGGAAAAAATTAAAAGAAATTGAAAAAACTAGAATAAATTGTAAAATCTAAAAAAAGTTTTTAAAAAATTTTTATGTGTGGTTTTAAATTATTCTCATTTTGATTCTTGTTGATATAAATTATTATTATTGCTATTATTATTATTATTATTATTATTATTATTATTATTATTATTATTATTATTATTATTATGATTATGATTATCATTATCATTATCATTATCATTATGATTATTATTATTATTATTATTATCATTATCATTATCATTATCATTATCATTATCATTATCATTATTATTGTTGTTGTTGTCGTTGTTGTTGTTACTGGTGGTGGTAGTGGTAGTGGTGGTGTTATTACGTTATCTAAATGATTGTCTTTAAAATAAAAAAAATATTACGAATATTATTTTCATACAAAAAAAGATAGTTTAAAAAATAATTAGAGGTGAACTAGCACTTAATATTCTACAATTTAGTTAAACTTAATTGAAGGCACTATATTTTAGATTAAAATATTGATGTTTACCTTATACTCCGTATAAATTTAGATTAAAAAATATTCTACTCCCTCCGTCCCAAATTATTTGCCACATTTGTATTCCCGAGGAAAAATATTAAATTTTTTCAATTCATTTTATTTACATATTGGTATAGAAATAAAAAATAAAATTTACATATTAAAAAATTGTTAGAATAAGTGACCAACGCTAGAGGGGGGGGTGAATAGCGTTTGATCGTAGAAATCGCAGGAATAAAAAATTAAGAACGTGAAAAGTAAAGAGCGTAGAAAGCGTAAAGGGAGCACACCAAGATATATATTGGTTCACCACAACGTGTGGCTAATCCAGTCTCCCGAGAGACTCTCTCGAGCTACACTACTTCCGTTAAGCTTACGGGTGCTTAACAAACCGTTACAACCTGAGAACTCGAGTCCCACGAGCCTCAACAACCTTGCTCGGAGATACCGCACTCCAAGACTTCAACCCGAAGGAAAATACCTTTCCTTCGTACAACCAAGGGAAACAAGCTTCCCTTAACGTGTATACAACACTAAGACACTCAAGAACAAGACTCTCCTTAAGAGTAGATATTGAGTAAACTATATACGTTCAAGAACAACTCAAACTTCACAAATTGGCTCTAGAAAGCTATGGAAAACAATGTGATTTGGATGCAATGATAATATGTGTAATGTGAAGTGAATTTGATGAGAAAAGCAGACCCAAACACCCCTTTTTATAGTGCCAAAGAAGGCTCTAACGGACCAATGCATTAAAGGGGTGATTGGCTTGATTTATGGGATTGAAAAGATTTGGGATCTGCAGAATATTGGCTTCCCATCGATGTTTAGACTCAACCATCGCTGGTAAGCTA